GAAATATTTTCTTGTCCTCCAGGCCAGGGGATAAGTGGGGAAGGGCTTCAGAGAGAGGAGAATCTTGAATTGTGTGTGTGGTGTATGTGAATGAGAGAGAGCAAGTGCCTAAGTGTGCATGTGTGCTGGACTAATTGGAAAAGGAAAAGGAAAATGAGCAGGGGTCATTTTAGGCCCTAGCCATGAAGGTGGATAAAAGAAAATGAGTTAAGTGTATCTATAGAAAGTAAGCCAGGTCTAATGGAAGTATTACCAATGTGGTAAGTGGCAAAGGAGGAAAGGCAAGTTTGCAGGATTTTTTTTCCCCAAGGCATGGAGTTTGGAGATGTAAGTTTGGTGGCATTTGGATGACCCCGAATGCATGGTGGCTTGGTTTGTGGGAGCAGCACTGAAAAGGGGAAGAGAAGAGTCCTTTTGTTTAAGCCATCCTTCTGCCCTCTAGATGTGCTGGATGCAAACGTGTCATCAGCCTCAGCCAGCATGGCCAGGGCTTGAAAAACAGGAGGCCAAGCTGGCTGCTAGGATAACAGTTATGAGTGTAATTCTTTGGGAGTATTCATCTTAGAGAAGGCTCATGTAAACCTTCAAGGCAGTATTTTGCAAGCCACATGCAGTCCCAGCTTCCCTTTTTATTGCCCTCAGAGCACCTCCACAGCGGGCAAAGCCAAACTTCTAGCCCATTTTTTCTGTGGGTTTTTTTTTTAATAGTTGGGAATTGAGGAACAAAATAGGGGGACCAGTTTTACCATCTAAGTTGTTTCCTAAAGGGCTGCTTTTCCCCTTCTGGTATTAAGGGGGAAACAAGGCTTAAAATAGCCATCTGATGCCTCAACCCCTTGTCCTCCAAAAGCAGGCAGGCAAAGGGGCTAAACGTGTTGAGTTCATCTTTCTAGTGATGGCATTTTACCAGCCATAACCCTGTAATCCCTGGGCCAAAAATAGTTTTAAGAAGGAAGAACAGTTCTTGGTTGAAAAAAGTTACTTATCCCTGCCTTAGGTAGAGGAGAAACCAAAATGAAGTTACTTGTCCCCAAACAGCACAACTATGTTTTTATGCTGAACATTCCACAGGGGCAGAATGAAACCCTATTGATTTTGAAGGGTCTTTTTCCCAAGCAAATAAGCACAAGTTCACAAGATCTGGGAGAACAGAAGTATTGATGTTAAGCTTGAATTGGGGGCAAATGTGAAAGATGTTAAGAGTTGCCGTTCCAGAGGCTTAAAAGTAGAGGCTGGGTGGCTTGTGTTTTAGTGTGCTGGAAAAAAAATGTTGCTTTTCAAAATGAGAAAGGCATGTAAGTTGACTTCATACTGTACTTAAAAGGCAAGTTGTGATTTTGGCTCTTAGGGTTGAATATTAGGCTGGTGCACTCCCTTCTTTTTGCCCTAATATTAGATATCTGACTTACTATGGCTTGTCCAGAAGGGAAACAAGGGACCAAATTGGGACTACAAGGAGGGAATCAAAGGTTTAGATCTAATCATGATTCAGCCTCAAGGAGCCATAGGTTTGATAGATTTGTGTTTGGTTTTAGGAAGAAGTAAATAAATATAACAACATTTTTTGGTCATATGAAGACCTGTAATTAGATCTAAAGTCAATTTTTAAATTAAATTTTTTTAATTTGGTGGAATAGGACAGAATGATGTTTATTTGAAGCCCAATCAGAAATGCCATGAACGTCTGAGATATGGAGACCACAGCACTTGTGTTCTGTGTGTTGCTTTTAAAATCAGTGTGTTTTGTATTTTAGCAGCCCTTACTCCTCTTTGTGAAAAACTACCCCAGCCGTACAAACCGTTGCTTATTTGCTATGTCTTTGCACTTAATAGAATATTTGCAGAAGTCCAGTTCTGTCTGTGAGCATGTAGGAATCAACATTTTGTCCTTCATGCGTTGTGTGTATGTTCCAGTCTTCCTTCAGCTTACTATTCTGTTGATGTTGGGACTCCAGTTACTATCATCTTTAGCCATTTTGACCATGCTGGTTTAGGATTATACTGATTGTAGTCCAACACATTCACGTAGCACCAGATTGGGGAAATGCTGGTGTGGAGGCAAAATGTCCTGCTTCTTAGACTATGCAAGAAGTGCTGTATAAAAGTATCATACAACCTACTGGAGTATTCTTGAAAGGAAGGGCTGAATAGAGCTCTCCCGTTTCCATACAGAGGGGAGAATATTCTCCTGGATGGCTAGAATGTGAAGTACTTTCTCGGAAAAGTTCTTCCAGTTCCATCCAAGTCCCTGTCAGCTTTTTAATGTCCACGTGGTCTATGCAGTGGCACACCTTTGTCTTGGTGGTTGAACAACCAGCTTTGCCTCCATGTGGTATCTGACATGATACATCCAGCAATTAATTCTTTAGAAAAGTTGTCCATGGACTGCCAGCATCTGAAGGAATGTCTCTCTTGTTTACTTCCATTCACAATGTGCCATCTTGAGATCATGTTCCTGGAGAAGAAAATGATTTGAATCCCCACCTCTTGCTTTTTATCTGGAGCAGATGCTGTAAATGGGGAGTTTGTGGTGGGATTAGCTGCCTCCAAATCAGTATTCTGTGTGCGTGTGTGTTGTCTCAGTTCTCATATGGGTTGCAAGAGTTGATTATACTGATGCATGTTGACTAGTCATGTGTAAGAAAAACAAAAATCCATGCAAGGGGATAAGATGATACAAATCCCACGATTTGTATTTCTATATGTATTATCTTTTGGCCAGAAGTATATGAAAATTCTGAGACTTTTTGGAATGGGGTGTTTCTGTTTCCTGGTTGGTATGAATGTGTGGCATTCTTATGTAGGCAGTGCATCACATAAGAGGCCATAGGATGGGTTGGGAATGGTACAAAAACTCATATAACTTCATATGTAAAGTTAATGTATCTGGCATTAAAGACTTGTGAATGGAACAATTTATTTTGTCAAGTGTCCAGTATTTTTCAAAGCTGGGTTAAATTGTAAAATCCACTGTCCTTCATTGGGTTATACATTTATTATTAATAAGCAAAATGGCACAAAAGAGTGAATGCTTTTAAATTCTCCAGAATTCATCAGGCAGATGTGACCAAAAATCAGACATCCTAGAATCCAGGGGTAAGTGATACTGTAGACGTTTCCTGTAGGAAGGCAACTATGACAAATGCTTTTCTTTCATTGAAAGATGGTTAACACCTGCTTGTTGCAATAGCTTTAGGACCAGGCAGCTAAATTCTGGTTCTATTTACTAACAGGGTTTTTCTCCTGTCCCTCCGAATGACTAAAAAAGTTACCCACAAGGCTGGGGAAGAGGAATGGGATCCTTGTAATACAAAAGAGAACCTTGTCAGTGAAAGAAGGTCCACAAAAAACAAGGAAGAAGGTGGCTAGTGCTTGCCTTCCATTCACGCCTTGGGGTTTGCACACTTGCCGTTGCTTTGGAAAGATTCCTTCTTCTCATTTTATCATGGTGGACAACGTTTAACTAGAGAATTCTGTGTTCTCGTGTTGGTTCTAGAAGTTAGTGCTTCCTCTCGAGTCTCACCAATATAGAGGAGAGCCGCATAGTGCCTTGTGTTGTGTTTCCTAGAAATTTTGATTGGGGGCAGGGGATTGGGGAAACCCCATCCTTTTGGCAATTACAGTAATTTGCATTGTAACTTTTTTCTAATACCTTGGAGAATTGTGTCATTCGGCATGCTTATTTTATTTGTATTTAATGAATCTTTAAAATCGAAGTACAGTTAAAAGTGTAAATATTAGCTAATATTGATTATTTAATGAAAACTTTTAATAACAATAGCTTCTTGCCATACATTATTTAAACTGGATAACAACGAGTCTCAAAATTGTTGGTGTACTGATCAATTTTGGGAACCCTAACATAACTCTGCATTATTTATAGATTTCAGAGTTTGACTCTTGGGTTAAGTATAACGATAATAATCAGTTTCACTTTCACTACCTACTAGATCTATTTCTCACTGAGAGAGATGTGATTGAGAACTGCTGGAACCGTCTCTAGCGTAGCAGCTTAAGGTGACTAATGAACATATGAAATGGAAGCACTTTCACTTAAAAATTGCTCCCCTCCCTTCCTCCTTGTGCCTTGACCTTGGTGCCCATGACCATAATCCCAAAGGATTTCTTTGTTTTAGATATGCTGTACTGTACTAAGTAGAGCAGGATGAATTTAGAAGGAGGCCAGACTTTCTGATCTTTGGGTATGATGCCTCTGTTCGCACAAAACATGGTTCAGCCCAAACCAAACTGCATTATATCCTCATACAATACCTGTGCCTTTGAATGGTGGCTTACAATCCATGGTTTAAGGCTTACTGTATTGTGAGTATCCAGCCATTATGACTTAGTAAACCATCATTAAAAGAATTCTTTAAAATTTGAAAAATACTGTACCCTTAAAAATAGTAGAAGAGATAATAATTGCAGACAGCCTGACATTCTATTATAGTTAACGTGGGAAATGAAAAGCTCTTCATTTGTTCTAATCATCTCAAAATGTTAAATGTACACCAGGTTGCTTTTAGTTGCTATAGAAAAAAAATTCAAGCTTCCATTAATAGAAGCTTGCAATCTGTCACGGAATCTGTTGGTAGCCTCGTAGACACTGATTCCGCACATTGCATTTGTGCCATAATAGGATCTGTTTGTTTTTGGTTTCTCATGCTGTGTTTGAATTTAGCCACTGTAGTTTTTTAACCGTAGTTATTCATTTAGCACAATGTGTCAACTGGGTTGGATATGAACATTGGATTAAACCATGAATGCTTTAACCATAAATTGTTGAGTAAGCCTTAAGTGATTGGTTTATACAACAGTAAGCCATAAACCATAGTTCACATGCAGGTATGGCCAGGCTCATAACATATTATGCCAAAGCTTTTGATTGATTTATTATTATCTGCCATTAATCAGTATGGGCTCTTAGCAGCCACATAGACAGATTTTCTCAATGAGCATCTGTCCCCAACCGAGTCCTTCAGTCTTCCAACAATGTACCCATTGTTACTGTAATTATCCATAACTAAAACTGTATTATGATTTAGGGTGATCTGTGAATCAAATTCTTGTATGCATCTTAGTGCTATTTCATGCCCAACCTATCTTCTACCAAGCAGTTCTGGTTTGTTCTATAGCAAAACTGTCTAAGGCTTCCTCTGTTTGTTTTTGATGCCTTCGAGTCAGTGTTGACTCCTGGCAACTGCCTGGACTAGTCCCTGGCAAGATTTTGAAAGTGGTTTGCCATTGCCTTCTTCCTAGGGCTGAGAGGGTAACCGGCCCAAGGTCACCCCACTGGCTTGTGCCTAAGACAGGACTAAAACTCACGGTCTCCCGGTTTCTAGCCTGGTGCCATAACCACTACACCAAACTGGCCGTCTTTAAGTCTTTCTCTAGCCCATCTTGGGTTCCAGTTGGAGAAGATTGGTTTAAGGTGTCACTGAAAAGTGAGGTTGACCAAAATTCAATCACATTTCAAATGAAGCTAACCTAATTAATATATACATTTCATTAACATATCACTTCTCTCACACACATGCATTCAAAATCTGTTTATCAGCTAACAGACTGAAAAATCTGCATAAACAAAGAATGCTCATAGTTTCTTCTTGCATTGCACGCTCCTGCCTTTTCCTTCAAGGTGGTTTCAAAGAAGAGATTGAAGGCTATTTTAAACATGTGATTTCCAAAGCAGAAATGTATAATCCATGGTTTGTTTAGATATAACTTATTGAATAAATCCTAGTTGCCTGGATTCACACAGCACATTTAAGCATAAATCATAGTTTAGAAAACACAGTGGCTGGGCTTAGTCAATAAGCTAAACCAAAATGTGATTGGCTTGATTTTGGTTTAGTGTGCCATATAAATCTAGCCGCTGAAATAGACTGCATTTGTAAACTGTTTTGACTCACTTTAATTTATCTGAAATAAGATGATCACATTCAGATAGCATGGGAATCCAAAGTGGAAATGGATACTTTCAAACTCATGGCTGTGCCAAAAAAGGAAACATACAAGCCAAGCTAGAGTCCTTCTTTTTTATGCTAAACTGTGTCTATAAATACAAGAGCCTTAAAAAAAATTGGCCAGAAATTTATAGCCAAAATATGCTAAACAATTTGTTTCCCAATGAGAAAGTCTGAAAAATAATGGAGAACCTATACTACTGGGATGCTGTTCCTGGTGCCCCGCGTAGGCGGATGAACCTACAACTCCCAGCGTCCCACACTGCTGACCGTGCTAGCTGGGATTGGAGTCACAGGTTGAAGGGTCACAGGTTCTGCATTCCAGTCAAACGAGGTGCAAAGAATCCTATGTAGTTCTGCCATCTTACATGTCATTTGTAAGGCTGGCATTATCAGTTCTGCATGCAAGACAGCTTTTCTCACTCTGGCCCTCTCCATGTGTTAAATTATGACAGGTTATAGGGTGTTGTAATCCAAAACATCTGGAGAGCACCAAGTTGGGGAAGACGTTAAATGGATTGGATGCCAGTTAGTACCAGCCAACTAACTTGACTTTGTATCAAATATTACATCATATGAGCCTTGTCTCTTTTGATCTTAATAGAGAGTGGTTGACAACACCAGCAATTAGTATCATAACTAAATTGACTTTTTCGTCTGCTCTGAAGAGATAAAAATGCTTAAGCAGAGTACATAAGATGCTCAGATGCAGGAGAAGACAAAATCCTTTGAACATAAAGTCATTTTTTTTTAATTGTGGAAAGTTGCAAAATCTATTGCTAAAATAACATGGAGTCACAAGTGGGACTATGCTGTGGGTTGCTTATCTCTGGCTTACTGAATAAGCCACAGTTATCTATATTTATGCAACACTAAGCCAGAAGCCATGGTTTACAAATTGCACGCTTAGATTCAGAGATCTGTCAAGCCCTAAAGATCTGAGCAAAATCAAGGAAGCAAGAACAACACAGATTTCAGTAAATACCTTTAATGCTCGCCTGGGGTAAATGCAGAACCTTGGAAAGTGTAAGACAGTGTTTCTCAAACTTGGCAACTTTAAGCCTGGCTGGGGAATTCTGGGAGTCGAAGTCCACACATCTTAAAGTTGCCAAGTTTGAGAAACACTGGTGTAAGAGGAATTTCCCACCCACATTGATAGGGTGTTAATTTAAAGTGGAATCTTCTGGGATGATTTAAAATGCTTCTTCCCAGATTTCTCCCCACCTGGGCTAAATTGCCATTTATGAGATAAGTGTCAATTGACTTGGCTTCCATCTCATGTTTGTTGGTGCCTGTGTTCTCTTCCACTCCTTTCCCAGCCTCCTCACCATTTCTCACAACGTCACACCAAGCCCCAAACAGATGTATGAATGCAGCCAAAGCAACCGCAAGCAATGTCAGGCTGGGGAGGGAGGACGGGGGAGAGGACGCTGTCCCTTCCTCTCCTCTGTGAGAATTGGGGACCATTCCTAATCAGGATCTTCTTTTTCTACCCCTCTCATCGCCCCTCCAGTCCTTGGGAGCCTAACGCGCTCCATCTTTCATTGTCTCCATGTTGCCGCGCCAGTTGCTAAGGAGATGGTTACCAGGAGGTGTGCAGGCCAAACAATGACTGACTCATCCTGCTCTTACATTCAGCCAAAGGGAAACTCTCTTAAGCTGGCCTGGGCTGCAGGAGGGAACATCATAGGCTTGCAATGGATTTTCGTGACCTGGCGTACCGGGATTTGGTATTAAATCGCCCGTATGTCCCTCAAAGCACCTTAGAGACTGACTTCCCCACTCCGCTCTACAGGTGAGTGTCTTCATCGTGGCGCCACCACCGCTGCCGCATCCTGAGCTTTATTTGACAGGGAGAAATGGCCTCCTTGCGTTGTCTGATGTTCAGATTTACTCTAAGGCAGTGTTTCTGAACCTCGGCAACTTTACAATGCGTGGGGTGCAACTCCCAGAATTCTTCCCCCCCCCAAGATGGCGCGGGGAATTTTATGGGTTTAAGCACCCCAAAACTTAAATTTGTCGGGTTAGAGAACACACCT